GGCCTTGGGAAGACACATGGGCCCTGCTTCCTCCTCTTGTCTCCAGACCCAGCCTCACCCTCTCTGTGTCTCCCCCTCTTCCAGGATCCTGGGCCCAGTCTGTGCTGACTCAGCCGGCCTCAGTGTCGGGGTCCCCGGGCCAGAGGGTCACCATCTCCTGCACTGGAACCAGCTCCAACATTGGGAGTTACTATGCCAACTGGTACCAGCAGCTCCCAGGAAAGGCCCCCAAACTCATCATCTATGGTAATAGCAACCGACCCTCAGGGGTCCCGAACCGATTCTCTGGCTCCAAGTCTGGCAACTCAGCCACCCTGACCATCACAGGGCTGCAGGCTGAGTACGAGGCTGATTATTACTGCTCAGCATGGGACAATACTCTCAATGCTCACACAGAGCTGTAGGCCTGTGGGGAAGTGAGACAAAAACCCCTCTCCTCTGTGAGGGCTGAGCCCTCCAGCAGCTGCCTTCTCGATCTACGAAGACAGCTGAGGAGGTCAAATCAGGGCACTTCAGCCCAAGCTTGGCCCAGGGTCCAGGAAGGACTGACAGAGGGTTCTGGTTCGAGTCCTGAAATCTGAGTTTCGTGGCACAAACCAGCAGAAATGAACTGTTCTCTCCACCCGGGCAGCGCGCCCTCCGAATGCAGAGGATGACGGCCGGGCTGCCCGTGGGGCCGCTGCCCGCTGCAGCTGGGGCTGGCCACCGGGAGAGCATCCCCTCGGGGACAAACCCGACCGGCGGGGCCTCTAACGCCCAGTGTCCGCCCCACCCCAGGCCCCGGGGGCCTAGACACCAGGGATCTGACCCCTCTCCCCTTTGTGCCTTTTCATGACTCAGAGGCCGAGCCACGGCCAGACACGCCAGGCACCAGGGGGCCGGGGCCGCTGGGCGGCTGAGGGGCCCATTGTGTCCTGAGGAAGCTGGACCAGGGGCAGCCACGGGCGCTGTGCTGCCCGAGACGAGCCTGGAGCCCACTCCGCTCTGTCCCGAGGGCTCTGTTTGTGGCCGGTGCCGCTGCTCCTGGGACGATGGAAGCTCCTAGAAACTCCTCATGGGGGTTCCCTGGGCAGCGACTGGGGATTGCCAACCGGCAGGACCAGAGCGCAGCGGACAGCTCCCTCCTCCGCCTGCAATGGGAAGTGTTGTTAGAAAAACGTCTGTTCCCGCCTTCCACCCAGAGCAGAAGGCACCGAGTTCCCAATGCTTTTCCACCAACACCTGGACCCGCAGTGTCCATCAACATGCCTCCTCCCAGAATGTTTAAATCAGCCTCACTGTGACTTTTACATAGAATAACATACATGCATTTGAAGTTGGTTGAATGGTGACTAATGTGTAAAGTGTTAAAATAAAACCGTAGCACGGAAATGTAAAAATTCTGCCTGGAATTTTCTGCTCTGTTTTTCCCTTTTCCTCTCAGATAAATGCCAACATCTGTGTGTTAAGAACAGACTCCTAGGAGTGACGTCAGCCCACGGTTCTGGAGAACGATGGTGTCAGGGGAGAAATATTGACAGAAAATGGAAGTTACCCATGACCACGAACTAGGAGAGCGCATGAGGGCTGCTCCCCACCACCTGCCCAGCCCCAGAGAGGGGCCCCTGGGATCCAGGGGAAGGAGGCCCCCAGCCACAAGAGAGGAAAGACCCGGTGTCCTGCACAGAAGGGGACACGCCTCCATGGAGCTGGTCCCTGCTCTGGACCTGACTCTGGTCTAGAGTTTATGTCAGAGGCCCCAGCTCAGTCCTGACCCCTGACCAGCCCAGGGAGCTGTGGTCAGCCTCCCCCTGAGGACGCTGAGTACAGACTGGAGATGCCTCGAGGTGATGGGGAGGACACAAAATGGGACCCTATGGCCTGGGCCTAGGGCAGGGGCAGTGGGCCGAGCAGGGGGAAGGCAGAGGTGGTCTCTCCTGGGCTCTGGTTCCCATGACACTCAATGGTGTGTCTGGGCCTGGACACTAGAGGGCGCTCTGGGCTCACTCCTGAGGGATCTCTGGGGTTTGACCTGGGGCCAACCTCCTGGCAGCACCTAGTCTGCTGCTCAGGGCTCACAGCTCTGGTTCCTTAGCAACAGGCCCCACACAACCCCGCCCTGAACTCACCCAGGGCCCTCCTCAGACAGAGGGCCCTGCCCCAGGCCCAGGGGGGACCAAATAGATGGGGTCTCATTTGCATGAGTGACTCCTCCCTCCTGCAGACTCTGAAGAGGGGCAGGGAGAGAGGTGGGGAGCTCTGCTTCAGCTGTGAGCACAGGAGGCAGGACTCAGGGATGACCTCCACCATGGCCTGGGCCCCTCTCCTCCTCAGCCTCCTGGCTCACTGCACAGGTGACTGGATAGGGGACAGGGGAAGGGGCCTTGGGAAGACACATGGGCCCTGCTTCCTCCTCTTGTCTCCAGACCCAGACTCACCCTCTGTGTGTCTCCCCTTTTCCAGGATCCTGGGCCCAGTCTGTGCTGACTCAGCCACCCTCAGTGTCCGGGTCCCTGTGCCAGACGGTCACCATCTCCTGCACTGGAACCAGCTCCAACATTGGGGGTGGTTACCCTGTATCCAAGTACCAGCAGATCCCAGGAAAGGCCCCCAAATTCATCATCTATGGTAATGGCATTGACCCTCAGATGTCCCAGACCGATTCTCTGGCTCCAGGTCTGGCAGCTCAGGCACCCTGACCATCAAGGGGCTGCAGGCTGAGGACGAGGCCGATTATTACTGCTCAGCATGGGACAATACTCTCAATGGTCACACAGAGCTGCAGGCCTGTGGGGAAGTGATACAAAAACCTGCTGTCCCTCTTGACATGGGGCTCCCCTAGCCAACCCCTCTCCTCCGATAAGCCAACTGCTTCCTGTGCCTGCCCGGACCCCGGGCCTGAGACCCATTCAGTGAACTTGGTTCAGAAAACCTGTCCCCATCCTTTCACTCCCGCCCCCTCCCCTCCAGCCTTGATTTCCTCAAATGGAGGAGAAACTCCAGGTGCCAGGCAGGCTGCCCTGGGCAGAGGCCACGGTGGGTCAGCGCAGGCCCAGGCCCCGGGGTCCAGCTGGGTCTGAGTGGAGCACATGCGTAGTGTCCACCATGGGGCCCCCAGTGCCCAGGAGCAGCCTGCCCTCAGCCAGTCTGGGGAGGAGCCCCTGGGTTTGGGATGGACCCTCGGGCTCCGGTCTGGGGAGGGGCTTCCTGTCCATCGCGGGGCTGAGGCCGAGAGCCAGGCTGCTCTCCCTGTGCCCACCGTGCAGCCCCGGGGGCTCCCCCGTCGCTGCTGGGCCGGGACCCGTGGCCGGCCTGGCTCAGGCCTGGGGTTTTGGGCGTGACTGCTGTCCACCCCATCCATGCTGAGGGCTAACCACTGGTCTCCCCCTGTTCCTGTGCAGCCTCTAAACGTGCAGAGTCATGCTGACTCATCGTTTTGTGTCAGTCACACAGCCCGTTCCTGATGGGTTAAGTTTTATGTCTTAACATCTTAGCTAACCCCACCCATTCGCTAAGATGCTGGTGTGGGAGTCAGCCTTCTGTCTGTGGAGAGAGTGAAGTTTCCATGTTGTAAACGTCTCTGTTTCCATCTGTGTGTGTTTCTATTAGAAATATGTTTTAGATTTGGTCAAAGGCTGTCACAAGATCAATTAAGATAACATGAGCTTATCTGTTGATCTAATAATGTGAGCTATCTATCCTATATCATAAAAGACTAATATGCAAATTCACCAAATGGTGGAATGACTGGTTGCTATGATGAGCAGTGACCACAGGGGACAGACGTCCAACACAGGAGCTGCCCCCTGGTGGTCAGTGCGCTCCCACAAGGGGAGCACAGCTCAGCCAGAAGCTGGCTCACAGCTGGCGAGCTCAGTGGCAGTGACTCTCCCTCCTCACGGAAGCACTAAGGAGCTTGAGCAGAGCATAAGGAATAGCGAGTGATGTGTCCCGGACTGTAAGACCGATTGGCCCTTAGCCGGCAGTCAGATACCCCCCCGTGGGTCCTGTCCGGACTGGGAAAGGGCGCAGGCAAGGCTGAGGGACCCTCTCCCCTCCGTGGTGCAGGAATTCCATGCACAGGGCCCCGGTATGATCGTATTTACTGATATGTTATTATGTTGTGTTATGTTTACAATTTTGTTAATATGAATAAAACTTGTACCATTGGGATAAATCACACGTCATAATAGTGCAGGGCCATCCGCTCATATTTCATTGTAAACATTTGTAGGAATATTTCAAGCTATTTTGTATAACTTATGTGTAAGGGAAGGAGCCTGGGCCCATTTTGTATAACTTATGTGTAATCTGTGTTCATCAATATGAAAACAAAAACACTGTGACATCCGACTTACTGTTAAATGTTATTGAAAAATCTGTGCCCGTTAAATTGGAACCATCTGATCTCGGAGGGTTTGGCAGAGTTCCCCGTGAAACGCCTGCATCTTATGCTCTTCAGTGGATGGTTCTGATACATTTTTCTATTTTTAATATTTGGCCTTTTAATTACTTTACTTCTTTCAGAGCCAATTCTGTATCTTCCGAGGAGAGAGTATATTTTATCTGTTTTCACTAGAGGTTCTCACTCAATGTAGAGCTGCTGTCCCACGTGTTACAGTTCTACCTGACCAGGAGGGGGCACTGCTGGGCGGCCCTGGGTTCCTGCAGAGCTGCTCAGTGAAGACTGTGGCCTCAGAGAACCTGGGCCTCCAGCTGGGCCCTGTGCTCCCTGAGGAGACTGAGCAGCTGAATCCGCTCTGGATGGCAGCGCCCCCTGAGCTGGGACCTAGTGTGGTCTGAGCAGGTGTTTCCTCCCAGGGCCCCCCAAGGGCTGAGCCCACCTCCATGCCCCTCAGTCTGGGGTGTGAGCTGAGCTGCAGTGCCAGGGCCCAGGGAGGGGCTGGGCAGTCCCTGGAGGGACCCCCATTTGCATGGCAGCCCCTCCCCTGGCAGAGGGCGGGGGAGAAAAGGAGGCCTGGGCAGCCCAGCCCCACTGTGGGCTCAGGGCTGTGAGCACCATGGCCTGGACTCCTCTGCTCCTGGCGCTCCTCTCTCACTGCACAGGTAGGGCCAGACCTGGGCCCAGGCTCCTTCCCTTCCTGCTCGGTCTCCTGGGAACCTGCCCCTGGTCCCTGCCCCTCACTGACAAGTGTCTGTGTCTGCAGGGTCCCTCTCCCAGCCTGTGCTGACCCAGCCGCCCTCCCTCTCTGCATCTCCGGGAGCCATAGTCAGACTCACCTGCACCATGAGCAGCGGCTATAATATTAGTGGATACTTTATAAAATGGTTCCAGCAGATTCCAGGGAGCCATCCCCGGTATCTCCTGGAATATAAATCAGACTCAGAGAAGCACCAGGGCTCCGGGGTTCCCAGCCGCTTCTCTGGATCCAAAGACGCCTCGGCCAATGCGGGGCTCCTGACCATCTCGGGGCTGCAGCCTGAGGACGACGCTGACTATTACTGTAACACCTGGGACAGCAGCTCTAAGACTCACACAGTGGTCCAGACCCACAGGGAAGTGAGACAAAAACCTCCTCTCTGCTCCCCTGAACTGGCCTTGGCCTCAGCTGGGGGCTCTGCCGGTTCTGGCTCAGCCCTGGCTGTGCTGGTCGCTGTCCATCCGGCACCGTGTTCTCCTTGGACCCGTGGTCCTGACAGTGTCCCAGCTGTGACGTCAGGGCAGCGTTCCCATGGATGTGTGGCTCAGGTCCCGTTTGCCATGCTCCCGTCCTCACAGTGACATTCCTCAGGGATAACGATTCTTATGGACACAGGTGAGGAGGTGGAATCAGACCCATTAAGACCCTGCTGTGCACACGGGTCCCTGCATGTCCCTCCTCCTCCTCCGAGGACCGGGGCCCAGGACACACAGCAAGGCCTCTGCCCTGCCCGAGGCAGCAGCACTGGCTGGAAAGGTGGCATTTGGATCCCTCAACTCCGGTGACATCTCATCAGCCCTCTGCACCCAGTGACACAGCCACACGCTCAGGACATGGGTCCTCAGCCCGGCCAGCGTGGCTCAGTGGTTGAGCATCGCCCTACGAACCAGGAGGTCAGGGGTGTATTCCGGGTCAGGGCACAGGCCCAGGTTTTGGGCTTGATCCCAGTAGGGGGTGTGCAAAGTCAGCCCCTCAATGATCCTCTCTCATCATTGATGCTTCTGTCTCTCTCTGCCTCTTCCTTCCTCTCTGACATCAATAAAAATGTATTTTAAAACAGAAAGGAACATTGGTTCCATTTGGAGTCCATGTCCACAGCAGAGGCCTTGGTCACACTGGAGGACCAGGCTGAGCATCGCTGACCAGCCCACCCCGGGCCCCACCTCCTCTCAGCACAGCCCTGGGGTGAGGCCCCTCCTGGGCTCCCAGTCTCTCAGGGAGGAGCTGCCTCCAGGTGGAATCTTCATCATCCTCATCGTCATCATCATCATCATCGTCACAGCTCAGAGTGCTCCTTTAGGGAGCACAAGAGAAGGGGGCTGGGAGCTCATCTCCACGCTGTCCTCCCACCCGCACCACCGGGTCAGCGGGAGGTCACAGGTGCTGGCAGCTTCCCGGGGGGCAGCACAGACAAAAGGAGCTCAGCTGAGTCCCTGCAGGAGGGAAGGTCCCTGTTCTCACCCCAAGGTCAGGGGCGCCCGCTGCAGCCTCGGGCAGGAGGGCCTGTGGGACACTGTGGTGGGTGCAGGCCCCGCTCTGAGTCAGGTCCATCCTGGAACCAGAAGGAAGGTCATCTGGGGCTTCCCCAGCGTTTTCTCCAGGGGCCTGGGCAGGAAGGCTGGGGCTCAGGTCTCACCCACATGCCATGGCTGTGTTCTTAAAGGGCCAGGCTGATGATCACACAAAATGTCCCCAAACCGGCATGGATGGTTTCCTGTGTGGCTTTCCCCTCCATGGATCTGCCCATGTTCCACTCTCACAGGCACTCAATGTCCTCAGCTCTGTGTGTGGCCATGGAATGGGGACCAGGAAGAGATTGCTCTCCCAAAGCCACGCCCACCTGTAGCCACGCCCACCGCATCCCAAAGGGCCCCGCCCAGAGGCCACTGCATTGCCAGCCAACACCCCCTTCCTCAGAGGGATGGGCCATCCACAGAGACAGGCTCAGGGAGTGACATGCCTTTCTGGAGCCGCTCCATCTGTGAATGGGGAAGGGGCCCAGGCTGTGTCCCAGCTCCTGTCCCTTCTCTGCCTCCAGCCCCTGAGGACCCTCAGCACCCTGACCTCTCCCGGGAGGGCTGGACACAACTCACTCTTCATGAACGTGGGAGGGAGCATTTCTAACTGTCCCCAGACCGTCAGTACTCAGTTACGTCCCTGCTGGCACCTCCCATGGCTGGGCCCAGGATGAGACTCTATAGTGAGCACCAGTGTCTGTGCCAGTCAGACCAGGATGTGGGAACAGGGACAGGGACCTGGGGAGCAGCAGACACCAGCTGGGCCTCAGGGCTTTGGACCAGTAAGATGTAGTGTGTCCTGTGGCCAGCAGGGGGCTCTGTGGGATTGCCTTGTGGCCTCCATACAGCTGCTCACTGAGGACTTTCCACTCACAGGAGCCTGGGCCTGGGGCCTGGTCCCTGTTTGCCCTGATGGGGAGCAGCTGGGTCTGTGCTGGGATTGCCCCCTGAGCCCTGCGGTGGTCTCAGCAGGTGCTTCCTCCCGGGGCCCCCCAAGGGTTGAGCCCACCTCCATGCCCCTCAGTCTGGGGTGTGAGCTGAGCTTCAGGGAGGGGCTGGGCAGTCCCTGGAGGGACCCCTATTTGCATGGCAGCCCCTCCCCTGGCAGAGGGCAGGGGAGAAAAGGAGGCCTGGGCAGCCCAGCCCCACTGTGGGCTCAGGGCTGTGAGCACCATGGCCTGGACTCCTCTGCTCCTGGCGCTCCACTATCTCTGCACAGGTAGGGCCAGGCCTGGGCCCAGGCTCCTTCCCTTCCTGCTCGGTCTCCTGGGGACCTGCCCCTGGTCCCTGCCCCTCACTGACAAGTGTCTGTGTCTGCAGGGTCCCTCTCCCAGACTGTGCTGACCCAGCTGCCCTCCCTCTCTGCATCTCCGGGAGCCACAGTCAGACTCACCTGCACCCTGAGCAGCAACTACAATGTTGGCAGCTATAGCATATACTGGTACCAGCAGAAGCCAGGGAGCCGTCCCCGGTATCTCCTGAACTACTACTCAGACTCCAGTAAGCACCAGGGCTCCGGGGTCCCCAGCCGCTTCTCCGGATCCAAAGACGCCTCGGCCAATGCGGGGCTCCTGACCATCTCGGGGCTGCAGCCTGAGGACGAGGCTCACTATTACTGTCTGACCTGGCACAATAATGCTTCTCACGGCGACACACTTAGATGGGGAAGTGGGACAAAAACCTCCACCTCCCCAGAGTGTGGTTTCTTAACAACTGTACTTGTTGAAAAACATCTTTTTGCAAAGTAGACATGCAAGAGAGTGGGACAGAAGAAGAGGGAGAGGAAGAGAGAGAAAGCGCGAGAGAGATCAATGATAAGAGCCAATCATTGACCAGCTGCCTCCTGCAGGCCCCACACTGGGGATCGAGCTTGAAACCCGGGCATGTGCTCTGACCAGGAATCAAACCATGACCTCCTGGTTTCCAGGTCAATGCCCAACCACTGAGCCACCACGCCCGGCCCACAGGGCCTCTGTGACCACCCAGGTCTCCAGGCTGTCACGTGACTTAATAAACCCGCTGCCACCAGGAGCCGCCAGGCCAGGGCAGCTGGGGGAGCACCTGCCTCCTCTCCTGCAGGGCCACGGGGCTCCCTGTCCCTGTGATGTGAACCAGGGGACCCCGCTCTCCCCGTTGTCTGTCTCCATGGGCTCAAAACCCCTTCTCCCTCTCTTCCTGCTTTCCTAATGGCACAGGGTCACCCTGTCCCCGCTTTCCAAACCATGACTCAGCACTCCTGGGCGGCACGACACTGACCACCCCGTCCCTCCTCTGTGTTCGGGTCCCCCAGGGCTGCCTGCTCCCAGCTCAGAACCAAGGAACACGGACGCTCTCTGTCACTGCCCCACTCGGGGAAGGATGTGTGTGAGATTTAAATCAGGGTTTCCACAGCTTCTCCTAATTATTCCACATGCCATTCCCCGAGTCCAAGTCACTGAGCTAATTTCTTTCTAAGAAATAAAAATGCAGCTCAGTGCACACCCACAGTGATATCAATTCCACTCCCTGAGCCCGGGCGCCCCCCTGAGGTGAGCTGACCCGGCAGGGGCTTGTCCACACCCACGGGAAGGGCACCAGCTGGGTTCCGGTTCAGGGTTCGGGTTCTGGAGAAGGACGCACACAAAGGAAAAGAGAGTCTAGAACAGATTTAATTTGGGAAATGGGGGCCTGGCGGGACCCCACCTTTAGGGAGAGAGGTACTCCTCACTCTGGCTTTTCCATCCCTTTCATTAAGATTAAAATGATAGGATTCACCGGTATCCCCTGGGCAGCAGACTCCAATCACAGCCAATCAGTGAGTGGAGGACTCACAGGTGGGGCTGCTTCAGCTGCCAAGGTCTAGTCATTAGCTCTGACCCTTCAGAGCGATTGAGGTTGACCAGCCCTCCGACTCCCCGTCCACAGCTCTCTGTGATTAAAACAACGATCTGCATCAGAGAGACATCGCCAGGGACCTCTGAGCTCCCAGGAGCCGGACCTGGGCCCCATCCCTGTGGCCCCATGGCTGGGAGGTGGGTCCGGATCAGAGCAAACAGAGGCGGGAAGGTTCCCTAAGGGCCCCTGGGCCTCCCTCGGCCCCCCCCCCCCCATCACCAGCGCATTTGGGTCTGGAAACCGATCAGGGAAACCGTCAAGGCAGCTCCTGCCTCAGCAGGACCAGCTCTGCTCCTGAGCTGACCACTGTCCGGGCACATTCAGGTCCAACGAAGGCCACAGCCACTGCCCTCAGGGGCCATGCCCTGAGGCCCAGGTCCCCCAGGAAAGTGAGAAAGCAGCACCCACCCCACAGCCTGGCCCCTGTCCCAGTGGGAGGCCCTGGGAGGCGGGCTCCTGGCTGCCATGGAGACGCTGTGCCCTCTCTTTGGAGCCTCTGCCTCCCCGCCCCTCCCTCAGGGGAGGACAGGCCCAGGGGCCCACACACGACCTCTGACCCCACAGAGCACGTGCATCTCCTTCTGGTCCCATCCCAGGAAGTGCTCCCCCAGGCCACCTGGACTCACCGCTCACTGTCCCCTCACAAGGCCCTGGTCCTGATGGTGCCATCCCGTCCCGTCCCCTTCCTGTCCGAGAGCTGGGATCACAGTGACTCGGTTGTGATTAAAAAAATCAGAAATCTGCCGGGACCGGTGTTGCTCAGTGGATAGACCATCGGCCTGTGGACTGAAAGGCCCGGGGTTCGATTCCAGTCAAGAGCATGTATGTTGGTTGGGGGCACAACTCCAGAGGGGGGTGTGCAGGAGGCAGCTGACCGATGATTCTCTCTCATCGAAGTTTCTAACTCTCTATCCATCTCTCTTCCTCTCTGTGGAAAATCAATAAAATATATTTAAAAGAAAATCAGAAATCCACCTCTCCTCACTGATATAAAAGGGACTGAGTGTGAAGAATTTTAGGCCATTTCCATATGAATGAGGAAAACAGTTACTAAGTAAAGATTGACTGAAAAGCATGTGGAGAACACAATATGTATTACTGACTGAAAAAAATGGGAGGCCATGGAGTTTTGAAGAAAGAGTGACAATTTCTCACACAGGAAAACATATATAAAAAAAACCTGCAATGACAATAAGGGGACTAGCCTCCTGGGCACAGAGGCTCCTCTGGACCTGACCCTGGGAAGCACGTTCCCTGAGTGACAGCAGCTCAGGTCTGACCATGAACGGCCAGGGAGACGGGCGCCGACTCCCAGGAGGCGGCGGAGTGGAGCAGAGAGTGTCCTCAGGGGACGGGGAGGCCACCTCAGGGGGCACCTGGATGCCCTGAGCCAGGGGGTCAGTGCCCAGAGCAGGGGGGAGGCAGGACTGTCCCTCCTGGGCCTTAGTGAGTAGGGGACACAGTGGTGCGTCCAGGCCTGGCCACCAGGGGGCGCGCAGGGACCGCTGCTGAAGGGCTGGGCTCATCACAGCTGCAGCCTGTTCCCTGGCCCTGCCTGGTGCCCTGTGCTCAGGGCTCACAGCTGTGACCTTGCCCGCCTCTGGGTCCCTCACAGCCCCACCCCTGCCCTCACCCTGCCATCCTCAGGCACAGGGACCCCACCCAGGGCCCAGGGAGGATCAAATAGATGGGGTCTCATTTGCATGAGTGACTCCTCCCTCCTGCAGACTATGAAGAGGGGCAGGGAGAGAGGTGGGGAGCTCTGCTTCAGCTGTGGGCACAGGAGGCAGGACTCAGGGATGACCTCCACCATGGCCTGGGCCCCTCTCCTCCTCACCCTCCTGGCTCACTGCACAGGTGACTGGATAGGGGACAGGGGAAGGGGCCTTGGGAAGACACATGGGCCCTGCTTCCTCCTCTTGTCTCCAGACCCAGCCTCACCCTCTCTGTGTCTCCCCCACTTCCAGGATCCTGGGCCCAGTCTGTGCTGACTCAGCCGGCCTCAGTGTTGGGGTCCCCGGGCCAGAGGGTCACCATCTCCTGCACTGGAACCAGCACCAACATTGGGCTTTTCAATGTGCACTGGTACCAACAGCTCCCAGGAAAGGCCCCCAAACTCATCATCTATGATGATAGCGATAGAGCCTCTGGTGTTCCGGACCGATTCTCTGGCTCCAAGTCTGGCAGCTCAGGCACCCTGACCATCACGGGGCTGCAGGCTGAGGACGAGGCCCTTTATCACTGCCAGTCCTATGATGTTGAATTCGGTGTACGCACAGTGCCCCAGGCCTGTGGGGAAGTGAGACAAAAACCCTCTGTGCCGCTGCAGTGAGTCCCGGGCATCCCCATCCTCTGATCAGGTGGCTGTGCCTTTGGGGGGCGGCCGGAAACCGGGGTCTGAGCCCCCCCCTCCCAGGGGACTGTGTCTGCAAACTTGGTCTCCCCCTGTGCCCCTGCCTGCCCGGGTGCCCGTGGCAGCAGCACACGTGTGCGAGTCTCAGCTGAGCAGACCTTCCTGTCCTCCGGGGGCGTCTGCCTGGGCGGCCAGGACGGGGAGGGCAGGCCCGGGACCCCGCGTCCGGCTGTGCCTGGTCAGAGCCCCTCAGGCAGGGCGTGGGTAACAATATCAGCCCCTCACAGGCCGTGCAGACACCATGGCACAGACAGCGGGACGCACAGATGTGGGCCTACAAAGGCGTTTCCCAAAATTGAAACAGAAACCCACAGGCTGCAAACTCCCCCGTGACCTGGGAGGCCCCCACACTGCGTATGACTTTTCAGGGAAGCACTGGGTCCGGTCAGATCTCCATGGAAACCTTAAGTGCCTCAGGTCAGCGGTTCTCAGCCTGCGGGTGAGACCACGTTGGGTGTCCCATGGCCCGTTCACCGGGGTCGCCTAAGACACCCTGCGTCTCAGACATCTACCTCACAGCGCACAACAGCACAATGACAGGTGGGAAGGAGCCACGGAAATAAGGTTATGGATGGGGTCCACCCCACATGAGCAGCTGTATTAAAGGGCCGGGGCACTGGGAAGGTTGCGAACCACTGCCTCCCACAGTGGGAAATGTTTGCTGAATGGTCCCCCTCTGAGTGCGACCCTGAGGGCATTTCTGGAACATTCCTCTCTCCCTCATGGGCCTGCTCAGCCCCCAGGAACTCCTCTCCCTGAGCAGCGCCCTCCCCTGTGACTTTGGACAAGATGCTCACTGTGCATTTATTTTTGCAACATTTTTCAGGAAGAAAAAGGAAATTACTTTGTCATAAATGTATATTTTTGCACGTCCTGCAGACGCTCACCTGAGAGCGCCTGCTCCTGGATCAACACAGACTCAGGCCGCGGGGTCTGGGCTCAGACCCTGGGGCGGGAGGAGGGACAGAGACCTGGGAGCCCTCAGCCAGCTGGGCTCTCAGGGCTTTGGGGCAGGGGAGAGTGTGTCCTCCCGCCAGCAGAGGGCGCTGTGAGACTGCAGGTGAACAACACACAGCTGTTCCCTGAGACCTTCCCACACAGGGGCCTGCACTGTGGACTCCCTGCTGTCCTTGGGGGCCTGGCAGCGCCCCCTGAGCAGGCACCTGTGTGCGATCTCAGCAGGTGCTTCCTCCCAGTCTGGGGTGTGAGTTGAGCTGCAGCCCCAGAGCCCGGGGAGGGGCTGCGCAGTCCCTGGAGGGACCACATTTGCATGGCAGCCCCTCCCCTGGCAGAGGGCGGGGAGAAAAGGAGGCCTGGGCAGCCCAGCCCCACTGTGGGCTCAGGGCTGTGAGCACCATGGCCTGGACCCCTCTGCTCCTGGCGCTCCTCTCTCTCTGCACAGGTAGGGCCAGGTCTTGGTACCATGCTTACCCTTCAGCTTCATCCCTCTCTAGCTCAGAGTCTTCATATACCTCTCCTTGTCCATGGGCCCTCACCCATGAGTGTCTTGTTTGCAGGTTCCCTCTCTCAGTTTGTGGTGTCCCAGCCGCCCTCCGTCTCTGCATCTCAGGGAGCCACAGCCAGACTCACCTGCACCCTGAGCAGTGACATCACTATGGGTAACAAATATGTATACTGGTTCCAGCTGAATGCAGGGAGCCCTCCCCGGTATCTCCTGAGATTTAACTCAGACTCAGATAAGCACCAGGGCTCCGGGGTCCCCAGCCGCTTCTCTGGATCCAAAGACGCCTCGGCCAATGCGGGGCTCCTGACCATCTCGGGGCTGCAGCCTGAGGACGAGACGGACTATTACTGTCTGCTTTGGCACAATGATGCTTGTCACAGTGACACACCCAGATGGGGAAGTGGGACAAAAACCTCCATCCTCGCCCTGGCTGGTTTGCTCTGTGGCTGAAGCGCCAGTCTTCGGACTGATCCAGTCTTCGGGTTTGATTCAGATTAAGGGCATGTACCTTCGTTGCAGGCTCATCCCCAACCCAGTCCCTAGTTGGGGCACATTCCGGAGGGAACCGATGGATGTGCCTCTCTCACATCGTTATTTCTCTCTGTCTCTCCCTCCCCCTTCCACTCGCCCTAAACATCCATGGGAAAATACACTCAGGTGAGGATTAAAAAAACAAACAGTAAACCCCCCCTAAACCTAGATCTCCAGAGTGTTGGGTTATGACAATAAACGTTTAAAAACAGCTTGTGTGTAGGCAACGCGTCCCTGGAAGTCCTTTTTCACCCACGAGGGGTCTGCTCTCCATTTCCTCCTCATGCTTCCCTCCCGCCAGGGAAGCAAACAAATCCACCCTGGGTACGATGGCGGGCGACGTGGCCTGTGTTCTGCGTGGAACGAAACCAGAGACTGTGAAATCAGGAGCCTTTGTTCTCTTCCCACCAAACCCCAATGCTCATCCCCTCCGGAGGCCGCGGTCCTGCTGGGTCCTCAGACTGAAAGCAGCGAGCGCGCCCCCCTGTCCAGCTGTCGACAGGTCTTTGCCGTCCCAGCAGCGCGCCCGGAATCCGCACCATCTCCCCGTGCGCGGAGACCCCCAGAACCACAGGGCCGAGCGCTGAGAGGGTCCGGGAAGCGGGGGAGGGCCGGTGCCACAGGGAACGCAGACTTCATGCCCCTCTGGCTGCCCAGGCAACGGAATGAGGATCAAACGCACTGAGGACCGTGGACGTCACAGGCACCAGCAGGGCCAGTTTCCGCCGGGACAAGAGCCGCCCTCCCTGGACCTCCGTTGACACAGATCACACGATTAAAAAAAAATAAAAAAAAATCCGTGATAAAAACAATGTCGTTATTGGAGGATGAAAATGGAAAGGATTTTTATTTTATTTTTTAATATTATTATTATTTTTTTATTGATTTCAGAGAGAAGCGGGGAGGGAGACAGCGATGGAAGCATCAATGATGAGAGGGTCGTTGATTGGCGGCCTCCTGCACGCCCCCTCCTGGGGGTCCCATTGGGGATGAGAATAAACGTGACTGCAGATCCTTAGAGCGAGCACTGAGCTCGCCGGTGTGGCTCAGTGGTGGGGCGTCGACCTATGAACCAGGAGGTCACGGTTCGATTCCCTGTCAGGGCACAGGCCCGGGTTGCCAACTGGATCCCCGGTAGGGGGCGTGCAGGAGGCAGCTGATTGGAAATCCTCTCTCATCACTGATGTTTTTATTTCTGTCACCTACTCCCTCCCTCTGAAATCAATAATTATTTAAAAAATATTTATAAAAAAAGAAAAAAAAAAAAGATCCAGATGCAAAAACAGGAGCCCCTCCAGGAGGGCTTGGTGGGAGGAGATGGGCTGGAGGACATGTGCTCTGGGGCCAGCAGGGGGCGCTGGTGCACTGGGACTCAGAGCTCAGGCTCTGGGCCAGGCAGCCAGGCACACAATCAGGCCCCCGCCTGATTAGATGGGATAAAGAAGAGAGAAGGCCATCCTGCCAAACCCCGTTGTTCCCTGGGGAGCAGGCACGTGCCCCTGCAGAGGGACGCCCTCGTCCACGTGGGTCTGGGGCAGTGCCCCCCAGTGGCCACCGTTAGATCCTACCTCACTTCACGCCTCAGCTAAGGACTCAGAATTCTAGAAACAGACTAAAAATCCCATTCCCATGTCAGAGGAAAAGAGGGAGGGGGACAGGCAGACCGAGGGGCCGGGAGAGGAAGGTATGAAAGTAAATGCTTTTTGAAATAAATATGTTGTTACTGGCTTCAGAGGTGAGGCAGAGGGAGAAAGAGATAGAAACATCAATGGTGAGAGAGAATCATGGACTTTCCGCAGAGCTAAGTCTCCAACCAGCAGGCCTGGCACCGGCCCCGGCACAGGGGCAGCCGGATTAAAAGGGTCCCAGCTCACGGCGGGAAGTCTCAGTGGAGCCGGACCTGCCCTGGGCCCGCACTGATGTCCATGGAGCCGGTTCAGTGGAGACCGGGAGGCATCAGAGGAGCGTTCATTCCCGTCCTCCCTGCAGCCGGGGAGAGCAGCGGGGCACCCACACACATCTGCTCTGAACCCTGCAGCTGAATTGCAGAAGGACAAGGATTACAGGGGACGTAGGCACAGGGTGGCCAAATGGGCAGTTCACACGTAATGTGGCTGAAGATTTGCAAAGGTCTGTGGGTGTGCAAAGGCCTGAGGGTAAGCAAAGGCCTGTGGGTGTGCAAAGGCCTGTGGGTAAGCAAAGGCCTGAGGGTGTGCAAAGGCCTGTGGGTAAGCAAAGGCTGTGGGTGTGCAAAGGCCTGTGGGTAAACCAAGGCTCTGGGTAAGCAAAGGCCTGTGGGTAAGCCAAGGGTGAGCAAAGGACTGTGGGTAAGCAAATGCCTTTGGGTTTGCAAAGGCCTGTGGGTTAGCAAAGGCCTGTGGGTAAGCAAAGGCCTGTGGGTAAGCAGAGGCCTGTGGGGAGCAGAGGCCTGTGGGGAGCAGAGGGCAGGCCATCTCTCATGCTCACAGGCAGTCCTGGCGGGAGGATGGGCCGCGTTCCCGGGGGAGCTCCGGGTCCCAGCTGCTTCTTCCACCAGAACAAACCCCAGAGCCCAGGGCAGGACCCCTTCTCCCCGTGCTCTGGTCCCGCCCCCTCCCCCCAGCTGCTCCGTGAAGGTCTGTGTCCCCTTCATGAGGGCCCCTTCCGCTCAGCACCCAGAGCGAGCCCCTCCTCTGAGCCCCTGCAGGGGCAGATCCACTCTGCCCTCTGTTCCCCGCGCTGTGTCCTGGGTCAGGGTTCCTGCGCCCGAATCAGAGATGGTCACCCAAGGCTGCACCTGGGTCGCCCCCTGGAGGATGAGTCTCCGGTGCTGGAAGCACAGGTTCAAGGACTGGGTGAAGCAGGCTCTGGAGCAGGCTGACAGCAAAAGGGGCTCCCCGGGGCCAGCAGAGGGCGCCGCAAGACCGGCTATGGGGGTTTCTGCAAAACTGGGGCTCCCAGCTGGGCAGCCCTCCAGGGACCCCAGGCCCCTGGGCTGGGCCTTTGATACCTGTGGGAACTGGGCAGGCGTGGGGTCTCTGGGCCTGAGTCCCTGCACGTGGCTGTGTGCGGCCCCAGCAGCTGCTTCCTCCCAGCCCCACCCGTGGGGACACTGGTGCACAGGCTGGCCTCCTGGGCAAGGGCCCCACAGCCCTCTGTGGCCCTGGGGAAAGGGCGGGGGCACATTTGCATGAGCTGCCCCTCCTCTGCCAGGCCAGCTGGGCGGGGATAAGAGGAGCCTGGAGCCTGAGCAGCTCAGCCCTGGCTCTGAGGACCCAGGATCAGCTGTGAGCACCATGGCCTGGCCCCCTGTGCTCCTCCTGCTCCTCGCTCACTGCACAGGTAGCCACAGGCCTCAGGCACCCGCAGCCCCTGCCCCTGTCCTTCTTCTCACCCCCCTGTGTCTGTGTTTTTATCTGCAGGGTCTCTTTCCCAGCTTGTGCTGACCCAGCCGCCCTCCCTCTCTGCATCTCCGGGAGCCACGGCCAGACTCCCGTGCACCCTGAGCAGCGGCTACAGTGTTGGTAGAAACATATACTGGTACCAGCAGAAGCCAGGGAGCCGGCCCCGGTTTTTCCTGTATTACTACTCAGACTCAGACATGAAGCTGGGACCTGGGGTCCCAAGTCGAGTCTCTGGATCCAAAGACACCTCGACCAACACAGCGCATCTGCTCATCTCGGGGCTGCAGCCCGAGGACGAGGCCGACTATTACTGTCATGTGTATGAGAGCAGTGCTGAGCACAGTGACACACTCAGATGGGGAAGTGGGACAAAAACCTCTGGCCTCCTTGCCCGAAGCTGCTGACACATGCACAGAGGCAGGACCTGCCTGACTGGTCCCCGCAGGCCTGGCCCGGGGTGTGGGGTTAAGAGATGCTGTGAGCAGAGGGGCCACAGGTCCACAGGGGAGGAGAGCCGGGACCAGGCGCTGTGAGCACAGGCCCGCGGGGGCGGAGCCACTGGCTTCCCTGGGAAGTGACCGCCTCACACCCTCCTGGGCACCCTGGTCCGTTCCCACGGCTCAGGGGGAACGAATAGTCACTTTGCCAAGCTTTCCTGGCTGCTGATGGCACCGGGTCCTTCCCACGGGGGAGGGAACATAACCAGCTTAGCAGAGAAGTGCCCCCTTCTTCCCAGAACACCCGTGTGCCCTGTGCGCTCACTCACTCCTCCCTCTCAGCAGGGATGTGGCTCTGGCAGCCGCCTGGGGCCCTCAGACCACAAGCTCCACGGTGAGCTGTCACAGTGCCCAGAGGCTTATAAAAATCACTAAAGGCTTTAAAATCAGCCGTTTCTATGGGACTGCACACCGCTTTGGACTCAAAATTAATACCCCTGGCCCTTATGAGGTCTGTGTGAAACATGATCTTATTTTCAAATTAAAATACACAAAAACCGCCAAAACCGGTTTGGCTCAGTGGATAGAGCCTTGGCCTGTGGACTGAGGGGTCACAGGTTTGATTCCGGTCCAGGTAATGACCTTGGTTGTGGGTACATCCGTGGTGAGGGGTGTGAAAGAGGCAGCTGATCAATGTTTCTGTCACATCGATGTTTCCAGCTCTCTATCCTTCTCCCTACCTCTCTGTAAAAAATCAATAAAATATATTTAAAAAAATAAAATAAATAAAATATGCAAACACCTTCTAATGTGAGACTAAATCCAATCTATTCTCACTGAGGACACTGTGGAATATGTTTGAAGATTACCCTACTTTTTTTACACTCATCAGTCCTTCTAAGGGTTGCTTTTGGAATGGTTTCCATTTACAGATTGCATTCAATTTTATTTTGTATTAATTTCCAGTGTGTATGGCAGCACAGGCTTGGCAGCGATAGATTTACAAAGTCCCCCCGATATTTCCCGATCCCCAGGGGCACCCCACACAGCTATTGGCTGTCTTCCCTGTGCTGCTCGCTCCCCCACTCCCCCCAATTCTTTTTCAACTTCCAGCCTGTCCTTCCCCTCCCTCTCGCCCGCTCTCTAACCCCTTCGATTCCGCCCGCCATCGGCCTGCTCTCCGTGCCTCTCCGTCCGTCTCTGCTCTGCTGGGCTGTCTGCATTGTCCTTCCACTCCCGGGCTTCTCAGGCCTTTGCTCCCTGAGCCCCCTGCCCGCCCACAAAGGTGGTCCGGCCCGGGAAGCGGCCACGGGGCCCCTCCCTCCCCGCAGCAGTCTAACGGTCCAGGGGCACGGCTGCTGGTGAGTGTCCGTCACCTGGGCCGCTGGAGGCCGAGGCCCATGGATGTGGAGGCAGGACAGGGACCTGGCCATCAGGCTGCATCCTCACCCCATCCACTAAAGAGGCTCCGCCCAGTCCCACCCCTCCCGGATAGCACACGAGCCATTGGTTGGCACTGGGGTCTGGGAGGAGATTTATTGGCCTGAAGAAGGAGTAAATTTGCATATGGAACCCTTTCCCCTGGGACTCAGGGGATAAGAGGACCTGTAGCCAGGCAGGTCAAGGGGAGCTCAGAGCAAGACATCCTCACCATGGCCTGGCGCCCACTCTCCCTCCTCACCCTCCTCCTTCACTGCACAGGTCAGGACGGCCGCAGGGCCCCAACTCCCTGAGACCCCTCCCTCCCCGACAGGCTGGAAGTGTCCGTCCCCATGGTCCTTCCCCTAGGACATCACGTGTGTTTGTGTTTCAGGGTCCCTGTCCCAGCCTGTGCTCACCCAGCTGCCGTCAGCCTCTGCTGCCCTGGGGGCCTCGGCCAAGCTCACCTGCACCCTGAGCCGGGAGTACAGCAACTATATTATTCACTGGTATCAGCAGAGAGCAGGACAGGCCCCTCGGTTCATCATGTATCTTAAGAGTGACGGAAGCACCACCAAGGGGGACGGGATCCCCGATCGCTTCTCGGGCTCCAGCTCCGGGGCCGACCGCTACCTGACCATCTCCAGCCTCCTGCCTGAGGACGAGGCTGAGTACATCTGTGGAGCAGATCATAGCATCGGGGTGCCGTTTGGGTAAAGCACGGTGGTTGAGAGCAATGGGGAAGTGGGACAAGAACCGTTCTGGCTAACTTGCTGCCGATCACCGCCCGCGGTGACAGAGGCCGCTGTCCCCCGCCCTTAGGGGTCTGGATGCTTTCCTCCTGTTCCTTTTTGTCTTCCGAGTCCTGCCCTGGGCTCCCCGCGAAGCAGGTGACCAGGCTTCTACAAGGTCCAAGTGTTTACTTAGCATTTAAAAAAAATATTAAAAAAGTAGTGACTTGGTGCACATTACAAGGGGATCGATTGGAGGAAATAATTCAATATTGCTATGTGCCCTTTCTCTATAATAGAAGAGTCAGAGATGAAAGACAATTAGTAAAATTATTATGAAAAGCTCCCTCCTGTCAGAGTCTGAGGCTCACCAAGGGACCCATAGTCCAGTCCCCACCCACCCACATGCACCTCAAAATCACATGATACCCATACCTGGCTGGGCCCCCTACAATGGGCCAGGTCCAGACCCGGCCAGTCCCACCCTTGTCAAGCTCTGCCAGGCAGAAGGTGTAGCCACAGGGCCCCCGGCTCAGGGTCAGGATGGGGGCATGGCCTGAGGTCCCTTGTGAAGCACTGCCAGGTGGGGAGGTGCAGCCTCAGGGCCCCCGGCCTGGCACTGGGGCAGGGGGAGCAGCCTGAGGTCCCCTGTCAAGCCCCACAGGGGGAGGAGACGGCGTAGCCGCAGGTCCCTGCTGATTGCTTGTTAAGGCTCCTCAGGGGAACTTGGCCTCAGCTGTGGGAGCACCCATCTTTGTGATGGTCAATTAGCATATTCCCACCTGATTAGATGGGATAAAGAAGAGAGAAGGCGATCCTGTCGAACCCCGTTGTTCCCTGGGGAGCAGGCACGTGCCCCTGCAGAGGGACGCCCTCGTCCACGTGGGTCTGGGGCAGTGCCCCCCAGTGGCCACTGTTAGATCCTACCTCACTTCACGCCTCAGCTAAGGACTCAGAATTCTAGAAACAGACTAAAAATCCCATTCCCATGTCAGAGGAAAAGAGGGAGGGGGACAGGCAGACCGAGGGGCCGGGAGAGGAAGGTATGAAAGTAAATGCTTTTTGAAATAAATATGTTGTTACTGGCTTCAGAGGTGAAGGCAGAGGGAGAGAGAGATAGAAACATCAATGGTGAGAGAGAATCATGGACTTTCCGCAGAGCTAAGTCTCCAACCAGCAGGCCTGGCACCGGCCCCGGCACAGGGGCAGCCGGATTAAAAGGGTCCCAGCTCACGGCGGGAGGTCTCAGTGGAGCCGGACCTGCCCTGGGCCCGCACTGATGTCCATGGAGCCGGTTCCGCGGAGACTGGGAGGCATCAGAGGAGCATTCATTCCCGTCCTCCCTGCAGCCGGGGAGAGCAGCGGGGCACCCACACACATCTGCTCTGCACCCCGCAGCTGTATTGGCAGAAGGACAAGGATTACAGGGGACGTAGGCACAGGGTGGCCAAATGGGCAGTTCACACGTAATGTGGCTGAAGATTTGCAAAGGCCTGTGGGTAAGCAAAGGCCTGAGGGTAAGCAAAGTCCTGAGGGTGTGCAAAGGCCTGTGGGTAAGCAAAGGCCTGAGGGTAAGCAAAGGCCTGTGGGTGTGCAAAGGCCTGTGGGGAGCAGAGGGTGTGGATGAGCAGAGGCCAGTGGGTGAGCAGAGGGTGTGGGTGAGCAGAGGCATGTGGGTGAGCAGAGGCCTGTGGGTGAGCAGAGGGTGTGGGTGAGCAGAGGCCTGTGGGGAGCAGAGGCCTGTGGGGAGCAGAGGGTGTGGGTGAGCAGAGGCCTGTGGGGAGCAGAGGCCTGTGGGGAGCAGAGGGCAGGCCATCTCTCATGCTCACAGGCAGTCCTGGCGGGAGGATGGGCCGCGTTCCCGGGGAAGCTCCGGTCCCACCTGCTTCTTCCACCAGAACAAACCCCAGAGCCCAGGGCAGGACCCCTTCTCCCCGTGCTCTGGTCCCGCCCCCTCCCCCCAGCTGCTCCGTGAAGGTCTGTGTCCCCTTCATGAGGGCCCCTTCCACTCAGCACCCAGAGCGAGCCCCTCCTCTGAGCCCCTGCAGGGGCAGATCCACTCTGCTCTCTGTTCCCCGCGCTGTGTCACAGCTGCACAGCAGCCCCAGGCTGTCCTGGGTCAGGGTTCCTGTGCCCAAATCAGAGATGGTCACCCCAAGGCTGCACCTGGGTTGCCCCCTGGAGGATGAGTCTCTGGTGCTGGAAGCACAGGTTCAAGGACTGGGTGAAGCAGGCTCTGGAGCAGGCTGACAGCAAAAGGGGCTCCCCGGGGCCAGCAGAGGGCGCCGCGAGACCGGCTATGGGGGTTTCTGCAAAACTGGGGCTCCCAGCTGGGCAGCCCTCCAGGGACCCCAGGCCCCTGGGCTGGGCCCTTGGATTCCTGTGGGAACTGGGCAGGAGGGGGGTCTCTGGGCCTGAGTCACTGCACGTGGCTGTGTGCGGCCCCAGCAGCTGCTTCCTCCCAGCCCCACCCGTGGGGACACTGGTGCACAGGCTGGCCTCCTGGGCAAGGGCCCCACAGCCCTCTGTGGCCCTGGGGAAAGGGCGGGGGCACATTTGCATGAGCTGCCCCTCCTCTGCCAGGCCAGCTGGGCGGGGATAAGAGGAGCCTGGAGCCTGAGCAGCTCAGCCTTGGCTCTGAGGACCCAGGATCAGCTGTGAGCACCATGGCCTGGCCCCCTGTGCTCCTCCTGCTCCTCGCTCACTGCACAGGTAGCCACAGGCCTCAGGCACCCGCAGCCCCTGCCCCTGACCTTCTTCTCACCCCCCTGTGTCTGTGTCTGTGTCTGCAGGGTCCCTCTCCCAGCCTGTGCTGACCCAGCCGCCCTCCCTCTCTGCATCTCCGGGAGCCACGGCCAGACTCCCCTGCACCCTGAGCAGCGACCTCAGTGTTGGTGGTAAAAGCATCTACTGGTACCAGCAGAAGCCAGGGAGCCGGCCCCGGTTTTTCCTGTATTACTACTCAGACTCGAGCAATGAGCTGGGACCTGGGGTCCCCAGTCAAGTCTCTGGATCCAAGGACGCCTCGACCAACACAGCGCATCTGCTCATCTCAGGGCTGCAGCCCGAGGACGAGGCCGACTATTACTGTCTGAGTGGGGAAAATAATGCTTCTCACGGTGACACACTCAGATGGGGAAGTGGGACAAAAACCTCTGGCCTCCTCGCCCGAAGCTGCTGACACATGCACAGAGGCAGGACCTGCCTGACTGGTCCCTGCAGGCCTGGCCCGGGATGTGGGTTAAGGGATGCTGTGAGCGGAGGGGCCACACGTCCACAGGGGAGGAGAGCCGGGACCAGGCGCTGTGAGCACAGGCCCGCGGGGGCGGAGCCACTGGCTTCCCTGGGAAGTGACCGCCTCACACCCTCCTGGGCACCCTGGTCCGTTCCCGCGGGTCAGGGGGAACGAATAGTCACTTTGCCAAGCTTTCCTGGCTGCTGATGGCACCGGGTCCTTCCCACGGGGGAGGGAACATAACCAGCTTAGCAGAGAAGTGCCCCCTTCTTCCCAGAACACCCGTGTGCCCTGTGCGCTCACTCACTCCTCCCTCTCAGCAGGGATGTGGCTCTGGCAGCCGCCTGGGGCCCTCAGACCACAGGCTCCACGGTGAGCTGTCACAGCGCCCAGAGGCTTATAAAAATCACTAAAGGCTTTAAAATCAGCCGTTTCTATGGGACTGCACACCGCTTTGGACTCAAAATTAATACCCCTGGCCCTTATGAGGTCTGTGTGAAGCATGATCTTATTTTCAAATTAAAATACACAAAAACCGACAAAACCGGTTTGGCTCAGTGGATAGAGCCTTGGCCTGTGGACTGAGGGGTCACAGGTTTGATTCCGGTCCAGGTAATGACCTTGGTTGTGGGTACATCCGTGGTGAGGGGTGTGAAAGAGGCAGCTGATCAATGTTTCTGTCACATCGATGTTTCCAGCTCTCTATCCTTCTCCCTACCTCTCTGTAAAAAATCAATAAAATATATTTAAAAAAATAAAATAAATAAAATGTGCAAACACCTTCTAATGTGAGACTAAATCCAATCTATTCTCACTGAGGACACTGTGGAATATGTTTGAAGATTACCCTACTTTTTTTTACACTCATCAGTCCTTCTAAAGGTTGCTTTTGGAATGGTTTCCATTTACAGATTGCATTCAATTTTATTTTGTATTAATTTCCGGTGTGTATGGCAGCACAGGCTTGGCAGCGATAGATTTACAAAATCCCCCCGATATTTCCCGATCCCCAGGGGCACCCCACACAGCTATTGGCTGTCTTCCCTGTGCTGCTCGCTCCCCCACTCCCCCCAATTCTTTTTCAACTTCCAGCCTGTCCTTCCCCTCCCCTCTCACCCGCCCTCTAACCCCTTCGATTCCGCCCGCCATCGGCCTGCTCTCCGTGCCTCTCCGTCCGTCTCTGCTCTGCTGGGCTGTCTGCATTGTCCTTCCACACTGGGCTTCTCAGGCCTTTGCTCCCTGAGCCCCCTGCCCGCCCACCCCGGTGGTCCGGCCCGGGCAGCGGCCACGGGGCCCCTCCCTCCCCGCAGCAGTCTAACGGTCCAGGGGCACGGCTGCTGGTGAGTGTCCGTCACCTGGGCCGCTGGAGGCCGAGGCCCATGGATGTGGAGGCAGGACAGGGACCTGGCCATCAGGCTGCATCCTCACCCCATCCACTAAAGCGGCTGCAGTTGGCACAGGGAGCAGCAGGGGGCGCTGTGGGGCTGCCTCAGCATCCAGGTGGCCTCAGCTGTTCCACCCCCCACAGTGCCCAGGACTGGGCCCTGGTGCCTGTGTGTGCTGATGGGGGCTCCGGGCGGTGCCCTCTGGGCTGGGGCAGGTGCCAGCAGCTGCCTCCTCGCTCGTGTCTCCCAGGGGGGCACTCTGAGGCTCCCCGAGAGCTGTGGCCTGGGTGACAGCCCAGCTCAGGCTGAGGGTGAGAGGGGGCGGCCAGGGTGGCGCAGGCTCTCCAGGAAGGAAGCGAATTTGTG